GCTAATATGAATGGGTTAAATGATCCGTAGTACATAATATGTAGCCCTGTACTACGGATCATTTAACCCATTCATGTTAGCAGTGCAGAATTGTATGTCTATATGTACTGTACATATACAGCACAAATGTCCCGTACATTGCAGCATTAGATTTACAATAATCCCCTGCTAACATGAATAGGTTAAATGATACATAGTACAACAACATGTTATGTACTATGGATCATGATTTAACCTATTCATGTTAGCAGGGCAGAATTGTGAGCGCCTCCCACAAGATGAGCACCGAGATGCGATGCAGCGATCCTGCCCAGCGCCGACTACAAGAGGCATCGCGTGAGGCTACGGGATCGGAGTGAAACTGTGAGTGAGGGAAGCTGGGACGGGGCTGGCTGTAAATCTATTGCTATAGTGTACTGGACGTGTGTAATGTATATGTAGTACATATATACAGCACACACCTCCACTACACTCCAGCAATAGAGTTACAATTCTCCCCTGCTAACATGAATAGGTTAAACCATGATCCATAGTACATAACATGTTGTTGTACTATGGATCATTTAAAGTCACCTGTCCCTTTAAGAAAAAGTATCGGTAATTGGTATCGGCAAGTACATGAGGGGATGTACTTGTACTTGGGCCTGAAAAAGTGGCATCGGGACATCCCTAATACGTACTGTGAAAAATTAGAACTTTCAGAATCCTCTTTGGAATAACATATACAGGTGAAACTCGAATAATTAGAATATCGTGCAAAGTTCATTTATTTCACTAATGCAACTTAAAAGGTGAAACTAATATATGAGAGAGACTCATTACATGCAAAGCAAGATAATTCAAGCCGTGATTTGTCATCATTGTGATGATTATGGCTTACAGCTCATGAAAACCCCAAATCCACAATCTCAGAAAAGTAGATTATTACATGCAATCAATAAAACAAGGATTGTACATAGAACAATATCGGACCTCTGAAAAGTACAAGCATGCATATGTACTCAGTACTTGGTTTGGGCCCCTTTTGCAGCAATTACTGCCTCAATGTGGCGTGGCGTGGAAGCTATCAGCCTGTGGCACTGCTGAGGTGTTATGGAAGACCAGGATGCTTCAATAGCGTCCTTCAGCTCTTCTGCATTGTTCGGTCTCATGTCTCTCATCTTCCTCTTGGCAATGCCCCATAGATTCTCTATGGGGTTCAGGTCAGGCGAGTTTGCTGGCCAATCAAGCACAGTAATCCCACGGTCATTGTGGGCAGGTGCCAAGTCCTGCTGGAAAATGAAGTCAGCATCCCCATAGAGCTCGTCTGCGGAAGGAAGCATGAAGTGCTCCA